GGAGTTGGAGACGGAAATGGTCTGCCAAAAATAGAGGTGGAATCTAAATAAGAATTATTATCAGTAATAAGGGTGGCGTGATGCATTAAACATCACGATTTATCTGTCAACAAGTAAAGCAAATCTCCATTACATGACAGTTTTCAATAAGGAATTCATATTAATCTGTTCAGTTAGTCGATAAATAAGGGATATAAAGCGGGGATTTGCCCGTTAGTCTTAATGTAGAGTTGATATATGCTATGAGCCGAGCTACACAGGCTCTAGAATCAGCACTGGATCACACCTCGGCATTTTGAGAAGTGCAAATCTAGATGAGGAGTCGAAAACATGTAAATGAGTTGGGTTTCAAAGAATTCTTTAGTATATTGATACTGAAATCTTTTGTTTCGTGCAAGGGATTCGTAGATTGGGCTCGTCGGATGCAGGAGGGTTGCTTTTGACTTTTGTCTGTTAAATTATGTAAATAAGACCTCTGCTCACCGTCCTATGGCCCCGATATCTTCGCGTTGAGTGATCCCGATGTTATGTGATGGACATCCTCAAAGCCAGAAACCATTATTCACCACTAATCATCAATAAACATTGAACCAAGAAAGGTTGTTGTAACATCCGTTCCCCTTCCCGCATCACTTTCACTCGCTTGCGTGCATCTATGACAAGCATAAAACAGTTAACCAAATCACGAAATGCCTCACCGCAAGGTGAGGTGTAAGAGGTAAGTAGGATCTCAGTTGACAGCCTCACATAGTTTAATGCCTTTTGGTGATTGTTCGTGACTAATGGTTTATGACTGTGTTCGTCACATTACAAAATCTCAGCACGGTGTCATCGAGGTATTCCTTGCACAATTCAAGAGATAAAAGTCCAAGAGGGAGATCTAATCTATGAATCCCTTCCACCCGCCTTCTCAAAAAAATGAAAGGCACGCCAATATTAATAGCCTAATCGTGTGCGATAAGATAGAGATAAGGCTTCTGCTAGCTAATTGTGGAGCTTGTCTTCTAAAATCCTTATTATCCTCGAACAGCTCCAATGTCTGAATATGATACTATTCAATCACTCTGAGTGCCTCTGGCTTCTAATTATTTGATATTGCTGGTGGCTCATGTGTTTATCAGTCAACATTTGGCAAAACTCTTCTTTATTAGTTTCTTAGCACTTCTTAAAAATTTTAATCTATTCCTCATTTTGATCCGTTGCATAAATAATGATCTACGCTTGTTTATTGTTTCCCTTCCTATTCATATAAATCTTTTTTTGACTCAGTATACTATTCTCAAAAATATGGTATCACAGTATATAGTTAGTGATTGACCTTGATCTTAACTTTCCTTTTTTTTAATTCTTAATCGTTGAGTTCTATTCAACCAAACAATATCTCTATAATGCTGGATCGCGATGATGGTCATGTGTATGGTCTAGACATCTCATCCTACATGCACAAGGTTGCATCCAAGTGAGTTTATGGATTACCATGCATGAAGTTTCTTCGAAAGTCTTGTGTTATATTGTTTTTCTTCCTATTTCTTCATTGGCATCACTAAGTTATCTGCTAATTTAATATTTCAGCAAGCTAGGTTGCCAATCGCAACCCGCCTATTAACGCGTGTAAACACGGCTTCTGATCGGACGGGAAAGAAAGTTTCTTATTCACTGCGAGAGATCTTATATACTCATATTTATAAAAATAATTCATCCATATAAATCATTGCTGCCGTTGGCTCCTAGATATAACTACTAACTATTCGAGTACCTGGTTCATCGCTTGCCATACGCTTCAGTGTTTTATCAGGCTTCTAAGCTATTATTTTCATTTCATTTGCATAACAATATCTCTTCCTTTTCCCTTAAGTCAGAAACAAGAAAGATACTTAATTTGAGCTCGTTTTTTTAGTAACTGCAAGAACTTAGCACATCTTTATAGAAGTAACAATATTTATTCTTTTATAGTTTTATATACATTCGGTCTGATGTAAGAAAAACTTCAAAATTTGGCCTTAAATCACCTGCAGTAGCCCTGATGGTTCGCAATGTTGATGCTGATATGGAAATTCGTCACTGCAACTTACCTCTGATTCGTGATTGGGCATGTTGGGATTCTCTTTTATAGTACTCTTCTCGGCTGTATTAACAAGACTTCTAGTACGTGATTACAATCGCCTGCTACACGACCTTTAGGCTCTATTATGGTTTTCCATCGTGTCGAGGATAATTTATTTTGATTTGGCTGTGAGATCACACCGATCTTAACTAATTTTTCCCTTGTTTACTATTTTTAATAGGCGCCTTCGTCCTTTCATACGTGCCAAGCGAGCTACTCTACTCATCTCAGATGTGGAATTTATGCCTTTTCTTGAATCCTCTTTTGACGTCTGTTTTCATATCAATTCCTTTTACTTCTGGGCAGATCTAGATTATGCATTACGTCAAGTTTATCGCGTTCTAAAACCTGGTGGTCGTGTTGCGTGTGCTTTTTCACCTAAACTTCTCCGTCGATTCAAAGAACTTGGCTATCTCGCATATGCTCGATACGATCCCTTGACCTATTCGATGGCCTTGGAGGCATCTGGCTTTAGTCATTTGGAATGGCGTCAGTGGAGAGACCGCACTCCTAATGATGAACCCGCTGATTCTGTTCCTCATTATATCCCTTTTGACACAATTACTGCCTCTAAGCCCTATCTAAAAATGTTGTCTGACCAATAATCCTACCATTAATCTGTAAAACAATTAACCCCAGATCAGTGCAATGTAAATTCCTTTAAGGCCTATTATCTGCATTAATATATTTTTCCAACGTAAAGAATTTTCTAAGATGTCACTTTAGTTAGAAATAGACAACCGCCAAATCTTATCGAATTTCAAATGGCCTAGTTTGAATTTTGTTGCTTAGGTTAGAATGGCGGTACATCGAGACACCATCGTGAACCCTACAAAATTGCTAATTTTTAAGCCTATAAGGTGACTAGAAACACGCCAGCTCATGTCATCTACAAATATCAGCTTGTTATTCTTAAACAAATTAGAACCTTTGAAAATGACTTGGATTCATGGACTTTTGCCTTCCCTGACTTATGTCAAAGTCACATGGCCTTCATTCTCGCCGGAGGCACTTCACGGAAGTTTGGAACTACCAAGTCAAAAGTTTTCATCTTTAACCGCTTCGGGCAACAACCTCGATAAATTTCGGAAATACGAATTAGTTTAGAGGAGACTTCGGCTGGAATGTGTCTTGCCCGAGTTTTCGTACTTATGGCGTGCCCACCTGGGAACCGAAGTGAGGTCCATCCCCACAGCCTTACTGATTTTAGTCCCACTTCGAAAATTTTGATTAGCACCAACTGGTCTTGAACGATAAAGCCGAATGTAAATTTCTTCAAAGGCGATTGGTCTTAAGGCTTAATTAGTTCGCTTCATCTAGTTTATTTGTAATGCCACTTTAGAACGTTGGTTTAGCGCTATACTACTTTGCAGGCATAAAATAGGTGACATTTGAGAATGATTGATTTTGTCGAAACCAGAGTGTGCTCCAAGCCATTTAAACCCGCTGTTAAATGTGTGAGTTTGGCACGAAGGTTATAAGCCGAAGTTGTCATATGAGACGCAGAAGCTACCATGGCTCTGGGGGCTAGCGTCAGTCGCGAAGCGGTGCTTGT